AGTGTGCCACCTGGGGGGGGGTTCTAAAATGAAATAGGAAATAATTTTGGAGAGAATTCTTAGAGAAAATGGATTGAGTTTGAAGGATATCTGTAGAGATATTTGAAATAAGGTGTAGGAAGATTTTGGATAGAGTTTGGAAAAACTTTGACATGATATTCGTGAAAATATTGAAAACAATTTGAAGAGATATTGTAGAACATTTATAGTGAGTGCAAAAATGAAATGGAAAAGGGATTGAAGGAAATTTTATATAAAGATTTTCGAGAAATTTGGAATAGATTTGAATAAAAAAAATTTAGGTTCAGATTCTACAGAAAGAAACAAGTAATTTTATAAATGAGCATAATTTTCGAGAAAGACAACAAGCCTAACTCATTAGAATAACAAAAACATAACTGATTTTTCTATGCGCATTGATCGATTTAATTATTCTGGTAAAAAAGGGAAAACAGTAAAAATCCATGAGGCTTAACTACTATCAATTTTAAGGAAATAAGGAATTTCTCGATGTGACTTAGTTGAAACTCAGAAAGAAAAAACAAAGTAGACTAGAATACGGTCGAATGTTTTTTTTTAATCAGCAAAGATTAATATTCCGGATTCTTAACGAGACAATGAACTTTAGGACACATAGTAATCGAAATGGTGTTTCTGATAGAAAAGCTTTTCTTCCACCCGGTGGCGCAGTGATAAGTCTGAAGGCTCATAATGTTACAAGTCAGGTTTCTATACTCGCGATGAGTACAGCATTGATAACCCAATGTGTAGCAAATAACAAACAAAGTGAAAAACTAGAACTCAATTTAATGATAAATGAGGCCTTGAGTTCTTCACGAATAGTATATATTTACAAAATTATCGAATTTAAAACTGGTCAAAATTTTCACTCAAAACCAATAAGTGTTATCTCTAAATAATACGAAATTAACATCAATATATCTGGTGGAAGAAAAGAAAATTTAGGGCGTGCAAATGTTTTCGCTAAAAACCAATAAGAGTCTTGTGTGGTCCTCGTTATTAGATACAATACAGTTGATAGTTTGCAGTGTCTCCTCCAACGATCTTCCATTCACATTTCGATCATTGTTCAGCCAAATACTCCTCCGGATAGTAAAGTCACTTTTTATGGTGATTCCTGTGCCCATATTCCCGAGAGAGTCCAGAAAATTAGTCTTTTATAATGCCATTGGGAACCTACAAGTTGACAGAGATGCATATTGTTACGACAGCGGAAATCACGTGACGCTGCTAGCGCATGGTGACTGAGTTTCTTGAATTATCAGGGAACTCCTCGAATTTTTGAGAAGCCTCTTTGTTAGTATATAAGCCTGGCGAGAAAAGCCAGCGGGAATGAATGTATGGTTAAACGAACAGTGGTCACGGTGAGTTTCGGGCTAGTGTGTGTTTTACACTCATAGAGAGCAAAATTATCGAGATTGTGAATCGCTGTGATTTATGGCGTGTATTATAAAAGTTGTTAAGTTTAAACTGACGAGAAACGTACTGACTGTGGAATTATTGTTTACTAAAAGTTTGTATCGAAAAAGAATAAACTGGTTTAATCAAGAAAGGACATGTATGGCTGAAGTTCCTCGGAAAGAATTTCTACCGGAAATTAACAAACAAGCAGATACGTAACAATATTATAAAATTTCATTTGCTGCTGTTGTAAATACTCCAATCTGCTGTTACCACAAAACATTTGCAAATATACTTACAAGTATAATGAATAAGTAATGGATTTGATTTCATCTAAAATTTAATTTTATTATTCCACTTGTTACTGTAAGTTTAGTTTTATTTCAAAAATATTTTCCATTATTTACAGAAATAAAATATATTGTTTAACTTTTCTACTTATAGCTAGAACTACTGCATCATCTATTAACAACAGAATTTGTAGATTTGGAGGAAACTTATGATTTAAAATATTGTTTAAACTAATCAAGTTAAGGTATAATATAAAATGTAAAACTAAATCTAATATTGGGTGTTCCCTGTCATTTTATGCTAATACATTCATTTCCCAATACGACATTTTATTTGACACATTTTAGATTTGTTTTAAACATTATTTGTCAACATTTCATTGGTTTAAATAATCTCAGTAAAATAGTTCTAGATATGGCAAAATAGCTTCTCCAAATTAAAAGACCAATAACAAAGAGTTGTCTACGTTCTTTTTTACATATTCAGATAACAATATAACAATATCATTAACTGTTTCTCTACATTCCGAGTTCCTGTTTGTTCTACACCAAGTTTGTACCGTAATTGTAGTAGTTTTACATTTATAACTGATGACATAGAACAGTCATAATTTAATTCTAATAGATCATTTGGATACTGATCGTAATAAATTTCTAATCATATTATACAATCTGTTTTTGATGCTTCCTCATTGACACGATCTTCTAGAGATCATTTTTAAATTATCGCATTCAACATTAATTGACTATCTTTCATGCAGATTAAACGTTCCTGTCTTGCTACTGCTTCATCACATCTTACCGTTTTTGGCACTTTCATTTAAAAGAAACTAGTAGCATAACATACAGTAGTTGTTTTCAAACTGTGTTTCTTGGATCTTCAGGGTTCCACGAAAGGTCATCAAGGGTCTCCCACAAATATAACAAGTAATGGCGTTTTTTCTTTTTTCAATTATTGGGTGTTAATCTGTCAGGGACCAAATGCATTTTAAAAATCACAAATATTTTTTTATATTTGTTTACAATTTTGCAACAACAGTGCTGTTACGAACTTGGTCACTTTCATCTGGG